CAAATCTGTGTTCCTAGCCACGTATCCGGTGTGATGGCTGTTTAGTTTGAGCCCATTTGCGGAAACCGTGTGGGCCACATAGCAAAATCTTTCATAAACACAATGAGTCGGTCGAGGAGATTAGCCCAAACAAAAGGGACTAAAACTCGCGCAAGAATACACAGCCTAGGCTGTCGCGCCATTAATCTGACGCTGGCACAAGATGTTGAGGCGACGACGTCAATGAAAGCGTCTGTTTGCCTAACACATTAAAAGACACTAACTTTTTGTTGGGTGCTTCAGAAGGTATTGTCTCCCTTAGTGCCTCTCAAAGCCCGATTGTCGCCCTTGGTGTGACAAGCATCTGAAATGCAGAAAATACATCAGGGGTCGTGTCAACTCTCTTCCAAACACCAAACTATTTATAGCTTGTCAAACAAGAACATTTACTTAAGGTCAAGAAACTGCCTTTCTTCTCTGTGTCTTTCTGCTGTTCTCCAAGGTAAATTATCACCTTTTCATAATACAGACAAATGGACCGTGTCGAATTAGAAGTCAAATTGTTGTTGTCTTCCAGTTTTTCCCAGCTTGTCGTATTAGTTTCAGGGCCCCATTTCGGGTGGGGTCGAGTAGGGTCGGGGCGAGGGGGGGGGGGGGGACTTTCTGCCCCTATCACCAAACCCAAAACTAAAATCCTATATTAAATGGCAAATTTCTTCTACGGATTTTCCATGTTGTGCTAAAAGCCTTAAATATCTCAGCCTAGCTGTAAATCAGAAAACATTGTGCCAGCTACCCCTTTAAGCGATCGAACTTGAAGAAATATCAGCACGGGACAGTGAGTATATGATGAAAATACTTGGTGGGGATTTCCGGCCAATAAAGGCTGACAGGCAGCTGACCCATGACGCTCTAAAAAGATATATGTTTCCAGCTGGGTTTTGTCGAATCTAATTCTCCTCTTTCTAGACAGGGAGTCCAAAGATTCCGTCGCCTAGCTCCTCAAATCATAATGCTTGTGCGACACTGTGAGCTGTAGCATTCACGGCAAATTGGTCTCTCCCCACTCCTCCCCCTCCTTTTTTTGCTGTCGTGTATAAAAGTGCTATGTTTTTCCGAAAAGATACAAAATCGAACGACAAGTGCATCATCAACGTTCACCATATAACAAACACAAACAAAACTGAATGTCGCGGCTATGGAACCTTCATCAGCACATATGTAAATTAAACAGTACCACACAGAATCACTTAGCTGGTATCTCGAAGCAACTGGTCGATGACTTGTCAGTAGACTGACATCATCATCATCATCATCATCATCATCATCATCATCATCATCATCATCATCATCAACAACATCATCATGGTCTTTATTTCATCATCATCATCATCATCATCCTTTTCATTTTCATCCTCATTATCTTTATCATCATCATCATCATCTTTATTATTATGTTTTCCATTAGTTAGGTTAAAGAAAGCTGCAGTATACGACCTTTATATTAAAAGAGTGTTATTCTATGAGTATTATATTGTACCATTGTTATACTGTAAGAATATTGTATAGAGAATTTAACAACTGAAATCGACGTGAGCCTCATGATCGACCCAGACACAGCCGTCTACCTGGAACAGGTGAAAGGAAACTTCCCAATCGGCAATGACTGAAATCTGGAAGCCATCACGTTTAGTCCCGCCTGATGTCTTATGCATCCAAGCAGATCAGGATCAAACAAAAGAACCGTCTGTGGTCACCGGAAGTCATAGGCGCCCCAACATGGAGGCTCATGATTGCCCCCAGCAATTTTATTTCAAGCTAAGTCCTGAGCCAGGTCCCACTAAATAATTTTAAGACAGGACAGGCATCCCCCAACTATCCTCACAAGAATATGCAGAATGAGATAAAATGACTACACCCTACTTCCCAGGCCCATCCACATAGGTTCTAGTTTCTGCAATTTTTAATTGATTTTAAATATTTTTTTTTAATTACTATAATATTTAGTTGACCTGCAGGACACATTAATAATAATAATAATATTAATAATAACAATTGTAGTGAACCCATTTTCTCCTCGATAAATTACTGTCCTAGACGGAATGACGTCAGCTAATAAATATGAATGAGATTTACATGTAAGAAGGCCAGAGTCGTGTAAATCACAGAGAAAATGCTGGCCAAATGAAACTCATGCGAATAAATATTATTATTATCATTATGTGCACCATACGTCCTTTTTGGCGCTCCGGTGAAAAGTTTTGGTTGCTCGTCGACTTCTTGACTTTGGCCTTGTTCCAGGAGATGAGTTTTGCGTGCACATATATTTTACAGACATGGTATATTTGAGTGCCTATTGTTGATTCCTTGCCTTTAAAAAAAAAAAGACACACCCCTTTTATGTCGTCTTTTACGACATGCTTATTACAGACAGTGGGTCCTTTTTGATGACTTCACATAGGGCCCTGTAACTTACACGGATAGGGCCCTTAAATGAGGCTTGAGATCTTTCACCCCCCCCCCCCCCGATTCTAGAAAATTATGAGAGCCTTAGGCTGCCCCATTTCCTGCCGCTGCAACAACGCCCCCCTCCTCCCTTGGTGATTTCACTGGGACGGCGCCGATGGCGAAAGTTTACTATAAAGTGCAGTTTAGGATGTAGGAACAGAAATAAAAATGTTGCCAAAGAGAATGCACCGTGAGCTGCTTCCTGTCAGTGGGACATGCAGGTGAGCTACCATGCTCCGGTGGTTGCAGGAAGGAAGTGGAATAAGATTTATGGTCGCTTCAAAAGAACGAACTTTTGTACAACAGCTGTAAAGATGTCTATTTTGTTGTTTATTATACTGTTTCTACGTTTTTGGAGCTAGTTAACATAATCAACATGTGCTGGGCCGATGAAACCTGTTGGCTAAGTCACCCGACACTCCCCCCCCCCCCCACTCCCCCCCCCCCCACACTCCCCCACCCCCAACGTACTAAGTATGGAAGACATCTCAATTATTTGATTTTATACTTCATGTTCTTTCAAATGTATCACTATATTCTTTTTGCTCAGTATCATGTAACAACAATTGTTAGTAATTACTATCATCATCATCATCATCATCATCACCATGACTATCATCATCATCATGACTATCATCATCATTATCGTCATCATCGTCATCATCGTGATCATCTTCATCTCTGTAATCATGACCTTCATCATCATCATCATCATCGTCATCATCATCATCATCAACAACAACAACCAATGATTATATTTAAACAATGATTAAACCCCTGCAGACCTTTCCGAAGAAATCTTTAACCCCCCCCCTCTGCCTCCCCCCTCCCTGCCTCCCCCTCCCAGCCTCCCCCTCCCTGCCTCCCCCTGAGCTGCCTCAACATTCCATCATCATCACATTAGCACTTTTGCATTATTCGCCTTTACTTTCCAGGACATTCCCTCGTACCCATTTTAAACTGGAGTGACATATGAGCCAAGCTATTAGTGCCTTATACTATTAATTGCGTTTGCAACTACCGATCTGTTTAATTGCTGCTTCTTTCAACGATGTAACATTTCTAGTGTCGCATGTTTGTGTTAGTACTTCTAACGACTGCCAACAAAAAACAAACTGCCTTTATTACCACGGTGTAAGCAGAGTGGGCGCGGTGGAAAGGGTGGGGGCGGTGGAAAGGGTGGGGGCGGTGGAAAGGGTGGGGCGGTGGAAAAGGTGGGGGCATCTCATCTTGAAAGGGTTTGGGGCGGTGGCACTGGTAGCACAATTGGGGTGGGGGCGGTGGAAAGGGTGGGGGCGGTGGAAAGGGTATGCTGTAAGAGGGGGCGCTGTGGAAAGGGTGGGGGCGGTGGAAAGGGTGGGGGCGGTGGAAAGGGTGGGGGCGGTGGAAAGGGTGTGGAGGCGGTGGAAAGGGGGGGGGGCGGGGGGTCTTTGAGCCACGACTGTGTAGGTGCTTATTTTATTTTGCCCTTGACAGAAAAAAAAAATCCCCAGCCTTATCGAGGATTTGAATCCGGGACTCCCGCTTGAGAGCTTAGCGTTCTAGCCGTTCAACCAGCCGCTCCTCTATAGCGACTGCCTTGTGCATTTAATGCATGTGTGTGCTACGGGCTTGGCCAGGACTGCGGTCTGTGTCATTTCCTGTCCACACGAAGAGCTAAGGAGAATCTGTGTGGAATTTGTTGGCGCAGCAACGGAGCACCTATCGGTTGGTCCCCTCTTGCTGTGAAGCTGGAACTGCGTTTATCCACGACCGGCTCGAGCTGACGGGCCGTGCTGCTGACGTCACTTAACGTCGGGTTAACTGCTGACGTCGGGTTAACAATGCGTTAAACGCAGCGGTTCTCAAACAAGAAAGAAAGAAACTATTTTCCACAGGGGCGAGTAAAAACAAGTTAAATTTCAACTTTTAAGAATCTGCATGCCTTTTTTTTTTTTTTTTTTGAAAAATAATTTCACAATTTATAGCCGACTTTCTTGATTATTGCCAATGCACCTCTGTCATACGCTCACGGCACCCCATGATGCCACGGCACCCAGTTTGAGAACCATTGCGTTAAGGCATCGTTTGCCCGACACGGCGACGTCAGCAGAACCTCCTGTCAGCTGAAGCGGTTGTGGTTCACCTGATTTATAAAAACTATCTGCCCAAAAAGCGAATACAAGAGCTGGACAAGTTCCCAGCAGACGCGCTACAAGAACTAGACAAGGTCCCAGCAGACGCGCCCCAAGACCTGGACAAGTTCTCAGCAGCCGCGCTACAAGACCTGGACAAGTTCCCAGCAGACGCGCTACAAGACCTGGACAAGTTCCCAGCAGACGCGCTACAAGAACTAGACAAGTTCCCAGCAGACGCGCTACAAGACCTGGACAAGTTCTCAGCAGACGCGCTACAAGACCTGGACAAGTTCCCGGCAGCCGCGCTACAAGACCTGGACAAGTTCTCAGCAGACGCGCTACAAGACCTGGACAAGTTCTCAGCAGACGCGCTACAAGACCTGGACATGTTCTCAGCAGACGCGCTACAAGACCTGGACAATTTCCCGGCAGCCGCGCTACAAGACCTGGACAAGTTCTCAGCAGACGCGCTACAAGACCTGGACAAGTTCTCAGCAGACGCGCTACAAGACCTGGACAAGTTCTCAGCAGACGCGCTACAAGACCTGGACATGTTCTCAGCAGACGCGCTACAAGACCTGGACAATTTCCCGGCAGCCGCGCTACAAGACCTGGACAAGTTCTCAGCAGACGCGCTACAAGACCTGGACAAGTTCCCAGCAGACGCGCTACAAGACCTGGACAAGTTCCCAGCAGACGCGCTACAAGAACTAGACAAGTTCCCAGCAGACGCGCTACAAGACCTGGACAAGTTCCCGGCAGCCGCGCTACAAGACCTAGACAAGTTCCCAACAGCCGCGCTACAAGACCTGGACAAGTTCCCGGCAGCCGCGCTACAAGACCTGGACAAGTTCTCAGCAGACGCGCTACAAGACCTGGACAAGTTCCCGGCAGCCGCGCTACAAGACCTGGACAAGTTCTCAGCAGACGCGCTACAAGACCTGGACAAGTTCCCAGCAGACGCGCTACAAGACCTGGACAAGTTCCCAGCAGACGCGCTACAAGAACTAGACAAGTTCCCAGCAGACGCGCTACAAGACCTGGACAAGTTCCCGGCAGCCGCGCTACAAGACCTAGACAAGTTCCTAACAGCCGCGCTACAAGACCTGGACAAGTTCCCAGCAGACGCGCTACAAGACCTGGACAAGTTCCCGGCAGCCGCGCTACAAGAGCTGGACAAGTTCCCAGCAGACGCGCTACAAGAGCTGGACAAGTTTCCATCAGACGCGCTACCACCGTCGGTCATAGCTGAAAAGCCTCTTTTATTTTCTAGGTCTTCAGGTGTAGTGGACACATGGTGATAAATTTAATTTTTAATTAGGGATTGATGTGACAGCACTTGTGACATTCCCATAAGCGATCCGTCCCCATTTTCAGCAGCCAGCGAAGAGTTCCGATCCCAGTGGTACTGGTAACTGTCTGATTGTACATCCGTCTCACTTTTCCTGCCAGCTAGATCCTCTGCGAACTCTTCGCGGCCGCCATTTCAGAACCTGATGACACATCAGTGATAGACTTTTATTTTAAAGACCAGTCGGCTCTCGGGTGGTGATGTGGTCTCCTTTACTTCCACAGTTGCCCGTGTAGATTCCAGGGTCCCATTGTGAGGAAAAACAAGTATAGTCCCACTGCCTCACAAACAAACATGTCCTAAGAGTCAACTAATTGGTAGCTTCCTTCGAAGTCGGAGAACATCTGCCTGAGGTAGAAGCATTAAACAGTCTGCATGATGATGAGTCAGACTTGAAAACGGATGTGCATTCAACCCTCAGTTTCTAGAACAGGAAAAGGAGGAGGAGAAGGAGAATGAGAAGGAGAATGAGAAGGAGAAGACAAAGAAGAAGAAAAAGAAGAAGAAGAAGAAGAAGAAGAAGAAGAAGAAGAAGAAGAAGAAGAAGAAGAAGAAGAAGAAGAAGAAGAAGAAGAAGAAGAAGAAGAAGAAGCAGCAGCAGCAGCAGCAGCAGCAGCAGCAGCAGCAGCAGCAGCAGCAGCAGCAGCAGCAGCAGCAGCAAGAACAGCAGCAGCAGCAGGAGAAGAGGAAGAAGAAAGAAGGCAGAAGCAGAAGACAGAAGACAAAAAACAGAAGACAGAATACAGGAGTAAGAAGAAAGAAGACAGAATACAGAATACAGAAGACAGAAGAAGACTTCCCCAGTACTTTGTCTGGTAATCATCTGAAGCTGGGTTGGTGGTTTGAAAAAAAAATGTTTCTTTGCCTTCATTTTTGAACTGTCTGCCTAACGATCCACAGGCGGACGTCTAGCCTCTTCACCACCGCGGCTGGCGTCGTTAACAGTTAATGTATTGAAAACCTCTGACAGATTTGTCGCAGATAGGAGACTTAACTGGTGAAACACCCGGGCCCTAAAAGCACGACCGGGGGATAGTCCCTGGATTACCTGTGGGCGGATTGACGTGACCTCATCAGACTGATTAACGAATACAAGGTCACGGACTGGACCAGACGTCAGTGTTTGGACTGGGGTTATATCAGGGGACCCCCGGAGATGGCAAGTGACGAATAATGAAGATGGATAACTTGGATAGTTTGTGGATTTTTAGCTAGAGAGAATCGTCGCAAAGTGGCTGATGGGGAATCAGTATGGCTGACGTGTCAACTGTCTCTGATTGCGGCTTCCGGTTGGGGTAAAACATTATGGAATACGTGACCTCACAGGGGTCACTTCCTGTAGAAAGTCGTCGTAGTGATGTCGCTGGTGAACTACTGGCCTGCTATTTCGGTGGTACAGGGTTCAAATCTTCATCCCCGCGCATTCTGATCACATCCAAATAATAAATAGTGAAGAATGTGTGGCTTTACAACAACAACAACACCAACAACAAAAAATGCACTTAAAAAGGAATCGATGCAGATGAAAAATGCTCATATTAATGATCTTTGCATGTGTACTGTAATTGTAATTTTACAAATGTATAATTTTCTCGCTGTTTCTCTGCTGTAATTTTTTTTTAATTACTTTGTCTTATCAAGAATGAATGTTGTAAATATTCGTTTGTGTTTTTAACTTAATATTGTAACAACTGTGTAGTTTGTAGTTGTAATGTTGTAGTCAACTGCTGATTTCTAATTGTAAATATTAAGTATGTTCTAACTGTTATTCTGTAAACATTATGTGTTTTCTGATTGTACTTTTCTTGACTGCATGTTTAATCATTGCAATGTTTCAAATGTGACAAGTGTAGGAGCGGTAATGTGTTTACATATTCCCTAACTCGCTATTGCAATTTTGTAAACACTAAATATTTTCCAGTTATAGTTTTTTAAATACCATTTTTCAGTTTTACTTTTGTAAATGTTACAGTATTATAAAATTCCAAATATTTACTCGTTGTTTCCAAGTGTTTACGAGCTTTCCAAATGGTTACGTGGTTTCCCAAATGTTCACGAGTTTTCTAAAAGTTTACTAGATTTCTAAATGTTCACGATATCAACTGGCAGCCCAAGTCATTAAAAGACATATCCCCCCCCCCCCCCACGTTCGGATTTGAACCCGCGACCTTCGAAACGCAGGCAAGCATCTAGCTACTTAGCCACGGCGGCTCCCAAATGTCTATAGTGAAAAAACACACACCCCTGTCTGGGTTTAAACACAAGTAATTCAGGCTGTAAAGCTAACGTCTTCTTAGTCAGCAGTTGCAGCTTGTGTGTTTGTGTGTGTGCATGCACGCGCACGTGTATGTGTGTTTTGCTAGCGCGCGCCTATGTAACATAAAGACTAACCCCTCATCCCCACCCCTACAGCTAATTAGGCAGTTGAGCTATCTATTAAAAAAAAAAAAAACGACATCAAATAGCTAGGTTGAACTTTCATAGCGGGTGGAACCTTTGACAGGCCGCGCTCTAGCCGCCTAACAGATCTTTCTAATTCATTTACACCGCCATTCTCTGTGACACGATGTTCCTCCAATTGCCTTCTCTTATACATAAATATTTATCCGGTCTTATTGTCAACATACATCTTCTTTCATTAGTTAGTTCTTACTGATCTTTATTCCTTCATTAGATGACAGAGCTCGGGGAGTTTTTATTTAACCGGGGTGGTAGACCGGTTTCAGGGATTCTAAAACTGTTACAATCATGGGTTCTGGATTTACGGCTTTGGGTAAATTAGAGTTGGTTTATGGGTTGTTTGGGTAGATGGAACGTTGATTGTTTGGGTGGATGGTGGGTTCAGTGTTTAGATTGTGGGTTTATTGGGTGCATGGGATGTGGGTTAGTTGGGTGGATGGTGGATTAGTTTGGTGCATGGTGGGTTGGTAAGGTTATGGTTGGTTGCTTGTGTGAATGGTGACTTGGCTCATAGACCTCTGTCTTAACTCTTTGAGTCCCAGGGGGTTTAGCAACACAGCCCTGGGTGGTGGTAAAGAAAGTAATAAAATCGGCGCATTATGCGTTCATTGGGCTTCTAGGTAGGATCATGTGAACGTATGATGCGTTCCTTGGGACTCAATGAGTTAATTGCAGACTTTAAACTTTTTTTTAAGGATAGTAATAAATCGAATCCAGTAACGGTCGTCTGCTGTTTTCTTGTGTGTACTCCTGAAATGCCTCTCGGCGTCAGGACAGAGAGAGAGCTGTGGAAAGGGCTCCTCTCTTTACTTTGTGTATAGTACTTTTCAGTGTCTTTGATATTTGAGCCTTCCTGTTCTGCGTGGTCGACCTCTGGCTCTGTGACTATTGTGTCTGTATAACACTGCTCTCTGTGGTGCCCTGGCTGTTGCCAGTCTTGTTACATGACCAAATCATTTTATGCGTTGTTTATCGATAACGTCCAGTTCTGTGTCGATTATGATCCTGATATCAGCGTTTCTAAGTCGATCTTTCCTTGCTACATCTGGCATAATATGTAAACTTGTCCTTTCTGTGGGCTGTGTGTCTTCCTTCTGCTTGACATTGATAGTAGTGCTTTGGTGAGAACTCTGTATCGAACAGTGCTCTTTTAATGTTTACATTCACAGGCTTGCATTTCAACATTGGTGCCATTTGTCCTATGTTGTTGTGGTTGTTGTTGTTATCGATCCATGGGCGCATGAGCTTGCGCCATTAGGCCAAATGCTATGTAGTGGAATTTGCATGTTTTCACCAACTGTTCTTTCCCTCTGTACAAGATGTTCCACTTGTCTGGTCTCAGAGAGAGCTGCATTCTTCTAGTCTCGCTGAGCTTCCCTTTTTCCTATCACTTGATTAGCTTTAGTGCATCATTGTTATATTGCTGTGTTCCTCATTCCATTTGCTGTAGAAACCCTCCATATATGTGTGAAGTTCTTCGCCTGCTTCAATTAATGATTGTCAATGTTGGAATTTGTGGTTCTTCTTGTTATGAAAAATATCACCACTTGTGTTACAGCAATGTTATCAATTTAAAAAGTAGCATAATTTAATCTTCTTCGTCTTGTTCTTCTTCTTCTCATTCTTCTTCTTCTTTTTCTTCTTCTTCTTCTTCATCATCATCATCTTCTTCTTCTTCTTCTTCTTCTTCTTCTTCTTCTTCTTCTTCTTCTCTTCTTCTTGTCTCTTCTTCTTTTCTTCTTCTTCTTCTTCTTTTCTTCTTCTTCTTCTTCTTCTTCTCTTCTTCTTTCTTCTTCTTCTTCTTCTCTTCTTCTTCTTCAGCTCTCTTTCTTCCTCCTCTTCTTCTTCTTCTTCTTCTTCTTCTTCTTCTTCTTCTTCTTCTTCTTCTTCTTCTTCTTCTTCTTCTTCTTCTTCTTCTTCTTCTTCTTTTTCTTTTTCTTCATCTTCTTCTTCTTCTTCTTCTTCTTCTTCTTCTTCTTTTTCTTCTTCTTCTTCATCTTTTCTGTGGTATCACTAACACCAGAATGTAACCCAGTGTCGTAGTTTTCTGTATTTGTCTTGCGTTTCTCTCATCCCCAACAACTGAATATTAAATTTATTTATATGTTTTTAGGGGTCTTTGATTTTCTTTATGTACACAGATAGCAGGGGAACCGCACGTGGAGACAGTAACTGAACGGAACCCCCACACAACCCTGGATTTATCTACAAGTTGAGAACCACCATGTCAGATTCCCGCGTGAGTTGCAAACGGCACCTGTCCGTATCTGGCGACTAGCAGACGCCAGGACTCCAACATCATCTCAAAGAGCCAACTCTTCGCCATTGAAGGCAGTTAATATGCGTCACTTCCTTGACAACGGTACACAGCAACCATTGGGAATTAATGCACCTTTTCGTCCAACTAACTTTTAACACGCAAAAAATAAA